AATACAATCCAATGACATGTCATGACAATTTTTACAATTAGTTTTTATTTATTTATTTTTATTTATTTTTTTTAGACATAAGTCAATTTAACCCTTGAAATTTTAGCATTCCTATAATGTTCCCTTTGATATAAGATATCATATAAACCCCAGTTATATTTATGATAGGATCAACAATTAAATTACCCATTAGAGAATTAATGGAACTCGTAAATAGAGAAGTAATTAGAGAGGTTAAAAGAAAGACACTAAATTATGAATATTATGTTAAGGGTTAATTTTATAAATGATCCTTAAGGTTTTGCCTCAATCACACTTTAGTGCTTGACTTTTTAAACGTCGCACAAATGGTCTATGAGGTTTTATTTGTTTTAGTTTCGGTCCTTCTGTTAACTTAGTGTTAAATATTTGCAGGAATCTGTAGAAATTATGGACTAAAATTGGAAACATATAAGTTTAGAGATTAAAATAATACAAAAACCAAAAGTTAATTTCCACAAATATACTTAAAATTTTAGCTGTTTCTAATTTTGAGCACTAATTTACACAGATTCTATCAAATTTTTACGCCTAGTTGATGGAAGGATTGATACTGAAACAAAAGAAAATTTTAGGGACCATATGTGTGACGTTTAAAAAGTCAAAAATTAAAGTGAGATTAAGTGTAAATCTCATGGATCATTTGTGGAATTAACCCTTATGTTAACTACTAAAAATAATCATCAAATCAAAAAATAAATAAATATATATATAATAAATTACGTTAATTGTTAATAAAAATAATAAGCTCAATGGGAAATTTTGGAAAATAAAAAATGTATATTTTTTTTAAAACAATCTAACACTAGTTTTAGAAATTAAAAAAAAATAAAATTTTCACTTTCCCTTATGGAAACCTTAAAAAACCTCTTATTTCTTCGTAAAAAAAATACAATAGCCATAGAATCTCTCCAAACTCCATTGATTTTCACGTGGATTATGGACGAGAGTGTTTACTGGGGAAGGGGATGGCGACGACAACATGGCTAGGAGAGGTGCGTTGCATATCCCGAAGTTTGGAAATGGTAGGAATTGATGGTTACTGATCGGTGACAGCAAAGTATCATATTAGGATACCGTGACTGATAGCTGGAATTTTTAATATCGGGGCACGATACCTCGAAATATCATGATATGAGATCATTGGCACCAATGTGATACTATTAATAGTACCTTTAATTTTCTAAATTGCAAATACTATTTTCTTAGGGCCTAAGTCAATCCAGGTCAAAGCATGGATTTGTGGATTTTTATAAAGTGCCCATGCTCATTTCCCACCCACCCACCCACCATAAAGACAAAAAACAGAAATGAAAATAATTTTTTGGTTTAGTGTAAAATGAGAGAGAAATAAAAAATGACTTTTAGTCGTTTTTCATTTTCTCCTCTCTCGAACAGAGAGAGAAAGAGAAACATTAATGGGTTTTTTTACACTGAAAATAATTTCTTGATAAAACTACTAAACGCATTTTCAAAAATGATTTATGTCTGAAATTGAAAACGTTTTCATTTTCCTTTTCATATAAAAAATAAAATCATTTTAGAACGAGTTCCAAACGCATCCCAAGTGTTGCTGCCCTAGAACCAGACGACATGACGTATTGTCATTTAACATCATCCTAGAACCAAAGTTCAACTAGACAATTGTTTTTTCTGCCGTACCAGGAAGACATGAGAGCTAAAATGCTTGAGATTCTCTAAACCTTTTAACATGAGTGACTCATCAATATTTACTCTTTTTCCTTCTTGTTGTTTTTTTTTTTTTTTTTTTTTTTTTACACTATGAAACTCTATTTTTACTGGGGGCCACTAATTGTGAGAAAACCCGGTCATAATAAAGAAAGGTGCTGTTTTCCAGTTCAAACATTCTCAACCAAATGTGAAATTGGAGTGCATTCCATGGACTGAAATCCATACGTTGTACACTTGATAGGAAGAGAACCATAGTCAAGGGGAAAATCAGTCAGTTATTTGTGACAGGGTTAGCAAGATGCAAACCGTTGCCCAAAAATCTTCATGTTTACCATTGTTACTGACTCATAAAATCTCTTTGGAGTCTCCCCGATTTCTCATGCGGACTCAATGTCTCCCACTGAAACTAGTACCTTATCCTTGACCACCATTAGCACAGCTTCAAAGAACTTTTTACTGTCTACAACTATGGATGTTGTTCATATGCTTTCTTTTGTTGTTTGGCTACAACAATACCAACTTGATTGAAGAAGCCATTAGTGCCAGATCTGCGGGCTTCTCTTTTCTCAAGAATGAAGAAAAAAAAATATAGATCCTGTTCTTTGAGAAGCAACTGCATTCTCATCTTCTAAACATCTATATTTAGAGGTTCCATTTCGCGATGCTTGACAATTGTATGCGTTTATGCAGTAATCATAACAGCAACCACAGATCCAGAAGATTGTATCGCTACCATATCCGCACAACCTAGGCTCTCATACCAGAAGATAACAATCTTTAGCTGAAAGAAAGAGAAATTTTTTCTAGGAATGTGCAGAGCTGAGACCAGCTGTTGTTGATTAGCAGCAAATGAGAAAGACATATAGTTTGATTTGATTCGAAATATATAGTTTAATTAGTCTACCTCTTGCTTGGGTCTTTTCTGTACCTTGGTTAGCTTCCTATTCAGCCAGTATGCCTCTTTGCACACCTTCCCTCCCATCCAATTCGGTGCCTGGCCTCTTTCCTCGGCGTAATAATAGGAGCGATCTTTTCATCCAACTATATGTAAGATAAGAGTGAAGGGCGGGATTTCACTATCAAAAAGATGCTGAGCCAGTGAGTAACGGTTTGTTTGGGAAGAAGCTTCAAGATTCGCAATAGTGGTTTCGGCAACAGCCTGCAAAGACTCAGAAGTATAGACGGCCCTATGCTTGAGGTTGAAAAACCAAGATATGGAAAGCCACGTTAAATGTAAAAGAATGCGGCTAATGCCCGAGGTTATAAGACCGGTATGGGAAATCCCGTATTATTCTTATTATTGGTCAATAATTATGAACAGGTTCCGAAAACCACGGTCTATCACTATTGGTTAAGTATCAAACTCCAAGGGTATTCAAATGAAAGAATTATGGAAGAAATGTTATTGAATTGAATAAAGTTTGAAATGATTGTTTGCATTGGTATAAGATGTTTGTTCATCTCTGAGTTTCATCTTATTGAGCTTTTAGCTCACTAGATTCTTGTGATGCAGGTGATGATGTACAGGTTTAGACGTTGATGGAGTCTCCAGAGTTGCCAGATAGAGATATGTTCATATGCCATGTTTTTTTTTTTTTTTTTAAACAGCTTTTATGGCCCATTTTGAGACTCTGCATTTGATTTTTTTTTTTTTTATTAAGCAGCTTTGTTATGGTTTTGTAAATATGTATCTGTCAAATAACGGATATGACTTTAGCTTCATGTCCGATTTTTGATTAATGTAAATATTGTATGTAAAAGAAAACAAGAAAGAAAAGATGAATTTCAAATTCTATCTATGTAAATTCTTTGCTAATAAAACCATAACACACAAGATTCATTGACTTTTGACTCGACGTTTAGGCTCTGCAGTTAGGTTAAGGGGTGTTACAATCCAAACCAACGCCTCCAATTTATCTTAGAACCAAAAACCTCATTATTTCCTTGTAAGAGCCCCACGCCCCATGTTAATGACCTTTAGATGGGGCACTATCTATACTGCGTCAAAGGCGGATGAAAAAGTTGTATAAAATGGGGCTGTTACGACCCACGCTCTCGCAAGGTGGTGGGACTTATGCAGGTCCCACAAGTGGGGCCACCGTTCTGTGAGGAGGTGGGATTGTAGCCCAATAGGAACAAATAATATTGCTTAAGGCAGATACTACTACATTCTTTCTCATTAAAAATAAGAGAAAATTGCTCAATTTATTTTTAAAGTATATGAGTCTGAATTTATACTCATTAATTTTAATTAATATAATTATTTGATTAAAAAGTATATTAATTAAGAATAAAAAAGAAAAATTTAAACTCATACTCTTTTAACTAATATAATTATTTATCTCATTTTATTTTAAATTATAATTATTTAACTAAAAAATATATTAATTAATACCCTTTTACCTAATATAGTTATTTCACTCATTTCTCTTTAAAATAACCTTATTCATGATATTAGTTAATGAAAGTGCCCTTTTAAATGACTCGAAGGATTATTTTTTTCTTTGTTGCTTTTGCTAGAATAATGAATTGGATTGTCTCTTAAAAAATTACATTTTCAAGTTGAGGCCTCACCACCCATGGGCAGAACTTGGATTTATAAGTAAATGATAGTTTTTATGGTTTTTATTTTATTTTATAAATTATTGAAGTTTTGTAATACTAGGGGAATAGCTTTTTTTTATTAACTATTTTAATTTATCACTGATTAACTTAAAGATTAATTAATATCAATAAGTTATTAACTAATATCAATTAATAATTAATCAAATTCAGTCAGTACATTAACCGTTTATCAATAATAAACTATTAATAATTAATGATAAATTGATTTATTATCGATTAATTATAATTTATCACTAATTAATTACTATATAAAATGGTCAATTTCCACACACACAAAAAAAGGTAATAAAATCGATCTTTTGTCTAAGAAATAAAAAGTACAACCATTTATTAAAAATGGTGGTAAAGAAAGGGGTCATTTCCCTAGTTTTTTCCTTTTTTCTTTTTTTTAAGTCTCTCTAACACATTTAAAATTAAATTTAATTATAAAAATAGACCTCTTACTTTTAAGTTTTTCTCAATTGATGTGAAACAACAAAATTATCATTTAAATATGTAAAAGTTATTTCATTTTCACCCCTTGGTACTTTGTAAACGAAAAAAGAAATGAAACAAAAAGACAAAAAATACCCTTAAATAGTTTCTAAAAAATATTCACATTAAAAAAACCCTAAAACAAAATAATAGTCCGAAAAAAAAAGATCTGGAAAAAAAATATGACTTTCGAAAACCCACACTCATTTAGGGGAATGTTTTGGCAGTAACAGATAATTGGTTAGCACAACCAAATGTCAATTGTTAACTGAAATCCCTATCCAAAAGATGTTTTCAGTCAATTGTGATAGGGCTGAGTAAGGGTTTGTTTGAGAAGAAAGCTTCCAGATTTGCAATGGCAAATTCAGCAGCAGCCTCAAAAGACTCTGGTGTATATGCAGATACGTGTGGAGAAAGAACAACATTATCCAGTGCAAAGAGCTCCTCTGGAACATTAGGTTCATTCTCAAACACGTCCAAACCAGCACCTCCAATTTCCCTTGCAACCAAGCATCTTACTAGCTCCTTCTCATCTATAAGAGCCCCGCGTCCTACGTTAACAATCACTCCATTTTTCCCCAAGGCCGATAATACTTCTTTGCCAACTATTTGGCGTGTCTCGGTAGTTAAGCTACAACATAAGACGATGGCATCACTATTCTCTGCAAGATCTCGAATAGTGGAATAGAAGGGGTACGAGATGGAGGGCATTTCGTTCCTCGAGTTGTATAAAACGTTGCAGCCAAATGCTTCAAGCCTTTTAGCAACTTCAGAGCCGATCTTCCCAAATCCAACAATCCCTATCCGCTTGCCTCCGAACTGAAATTTTCCAATCCTTGAAGTTACTTTTTGACTTCTTGGATATCTAACTATGCACTGAAGATAGCAGCAAACAGGTTCAAACTATACAGTAACATAATAGGTAGACATTTAGGCGACTGGCTAAAGGTTTTAAGGACCTCTTGGTATTTGACAAGATGCATACGTTTGGATAAGAAAAGTTAGAAAATGAAGGGGTTTTTTTTTTTTTTCACTTTTCAAGATTTTTGCCGGTAACTGTTTGTGTTTTGCATTTGTGAAGTGAAAGGAATGCAAAGGGCAAATGGCATTTGACTTTGAAGGTTCACTATATGCAAGCGAAAAGATGGAGGCTATGGAGTAAAAGGGAAAAGTTGGAGGCTATGGAATTAAAGGATTATTATATGTGGATAATGAGATGTGTGCTTATTGGTACAATGGTGTTTGTTTGTCGGAATGACTGGATAGACTTTTGAATCAACAATCGAGAGCCATATTCTCTATGCTTTGAAGATTGAAACGAGTATGAAGAGAGACAACCAAATCTAATATCAATTAGATACTACTTCAACAAAGTTAAATTTAAAGCGTACGCGCACCAATTAATTATAGCTAAAATCGTTATTATGCAAAAACAAAAAACAAAAACAAAAACAAAAACAAAAAACAAAAAACAAAAAACTAATTATTTCTCCTTCCTTTTATCTCCACACAATTCCTTTTCATCTATTGCTAAACAGTGTACATTTTTTCATTTTATTAAAATATTTCTTTTTTTCTTTTAGGTCTTGGTTACGTTTTCACATTGGCAACTTCCTTGTTCCTTTAAATTCAAGTAATGCTGCTATAAGGCATTAGTAAGCACCGTCCACTAATAAAAGGACACCGCAATGGGATCGAGAGCCCACCTCTAAACACTTAGTAGTACACCAAGCATTTTTCTCTTAATCTCGAGGGGATTTTTGGGAAAAAAAACACACATCTATAAACACGTAGTAAAAAATAAATTGAAATAGAAATTAACAGTTATATAGAGAAGACAAAAATTTACATGATTCAACAAAATTACCTATGTCCATGGGAGAGAGAGGGAAAAATAATTCATTAACAATTCAAAATCACACACTCAACAACTTTCTCAATCTCTCTTTCTCTGTCTGTTCAAAACCTCTTATACCTTTGTGTATCTCTCTTCTTATTTTTCTCTCTTTCTCTTAAATAGAGGCACTCTTTCTCTCACACTTTTACACATAAAACTCTACATAAACTTAAAAACTTATTTATAGACTCTTAATGAACCATAAAACAACCCAAAGTCAAAATACAAAATAGTAACTTATCCAGAATATTAATTTGAGGCATATACCTAACAGTGTTCCCGGGAAAATAATTTGTTCCTCTCCAAAACTAACCAGCTTAACAATTTCACAATCATCCAAATTACTTTCACAAGGACACATTTTCTATTATCTCCCGATTGACAAATATCTTCCTAAATATTTTCTTTTTCACTTAAGACAGTGACAGTTCTCCAATTATGTGTCCATAATTCAAATCCCTAAAATCCCAAATCATACAGAACTAAAAGTAACAAACATACCTTAAAACCGAGAGGATAATCTCCTTTGCCTTTCCAAAATCCCTTTCTCAAATACCGATCCGAAGCAGAAACCCTTCTGAACACATCGATCAGCAGCCCAATGGCAAAATCGGCGGCATCTTCCGCGTACGCGCTGCCGTTGTTGGTGACGGCGATCCCTAGCCGACGGCACTCGGCCAAGTCGATGTTGTCGACGCCGGCGGTGGTCGCCGCCACTAAGCGCAGCGCCGGAAGCAGCCGGAGAGTCTCTGCGTTGATGACGGTATTGTCGTTGGTGACCAAGGCTTGGACCAAGTGCGCGTTTGTGGTCAGGAATTGGTCCAATGGAAGCTCGGATTCCCAGGCTTTGAGGATTCGGAACTTCTGATGGAACAATGAGGGGAAGAGAGTGAACGCAGTAGGTGGTCTGATCATTAGGATTTGTGGTCGGTGATCACCAATCGCCATGGCAGTGGGGAGAAAATTTGATAAAAGAGACAAAACAGCAATTGAGGATATCACTTTTTTTTTATAACAAAAAAATTTTAATGTGTATAGTTAAAAAATGGGTCATATTTTAACCCATGTATACGGGTCACTTCAAAAAATCTCTCTCCTTCAAAACAAACCGACCCTCCTCCTTCAAAACAAACCGACCCTCACGCCTCACGCACGTCTTTCTCTCGCCAACAACCGACCCTCTCTCTCGCCGATCTCTCTCGCCGACGATCGACCCTCTTTCTCGCCGACGACCGACCTTCTCTCTCGCCGATCTCTCTCCCCGACGATCGACAAAAAACCGACCCTCTCTCTCACCGACGACCGACCAAAAACCGACCGACGACCAATCAAAAACCGACCCTCTCTCTCGCCGACAACCGACCAAAAACTGACCCTCTCTCTCGCCGGCGACTTTCACGACTGAAATGACATCACAAAATAGCTCTTCTTCCTCAACTAAGACGGCCATTTCTCGAACCCCTGTCGACGAGGCAACGGAATTTGCTCTCCCTTAAGTAACATTAAGGTTTTATTCTCTGATTTAACATTAAGGTTTTATTCTTGTTTTATTTTTGTAATACATTTTTACAAGAACAAAAACATAATATAAGAAAACAAGAATATGGATTAGTGTGTGGTCGGTTCTTAGTCACTTTCGGTTCGTCTATGGTTTGTTTGTAGTCAGTTTTGGTACACGGTCGGTTCTAGTCGGGTTTGAGGTCGGTTCTAGTCGATTTGGTTAGTTCTAGTCGGGTGAGAGGTCGGTTCAAGGTCAGTTAAGATCGGTTAAGGTCGGTTCTAGTTGGGTCTGGTTGGGCACGGTCGGTTCATGGACGGTTCTAGGTCGGTTCCGGTCAGTTTTAGGTTGGTTCGGTTCTTGGTCGGTTCTAGTCGGGTTTGAGGTCGATTCTAGTCGATTTGGTCAGTTCTAGTCGATTTGGTCGGTTCTAGTCGGGTTTGAGGGCGATTCTAGTCGATTTGGTCAGTTCTAGTCGATTTGGTCGGTTCTAGTCGGGTAAGAGGTCGGTTCAAGGTCGGTTCTAGTTGGGAAGGTCGGTTCGGTCGGTTCTAGGTCTGTTCTAGGTCGGTTCGGTTGGTTCTTGGTCAGTTCTAGGTCGGTTCTTGGTCAGTTCTATTTGGTTTGTTCGGTTCTAGGTCTTTTGGTCGGTTCTAGGTCATGCACTATCGGTTCTGAGTCGGTTCTAGGTCAGTTCGGTCGGTTCTAGGTCGGTTCGGTCGGTTCCAGTCAGGTTTGCTTGGTTCTAGGTTAGTTCATGGTCGGTTCTAGTAGGGTCTGGTTGAGCACGGTCGGTTCTTGATCGATTCTAGGTCGGTTATGTCGGTTCAAGGTCGGTTCTAGTTGGTCGGTTATGGTCTGTTCTGGTCGATTCTGTCGTTTTGGTCGGTTCTAACCAATGTGTGTTTTCTTTTTTTTTTCAGAATGACCTCTTGAAGTACAACCCAAATAAACTTCCTGAGATTGGACAATTAAATATGGTCATGGATCCTATGTAGGAGTACTTTTCACTAAAAATCACTATGAAGTCAAAGATGGAGGCCCTGGAAGTTATAAGGCATAATTTAGACCCTAAAACGGAAATGTCAATTTTTAGGGGATTCGTCTTGGGACATTTGATTTCGATGTCTGAAAACATGATATATTTAGAGTGTTGACACACTATCTGCTTTTGAGACAAATAGAAACTGAAAAGAAACATGAGTTATGGTTCCTGGTTAATGGAAAGCCAACTCGGTTCAGAATGAGGGAATTTACTTTAATCACTCGATTGAACTGCGGAGAAATCTCAGAGCTGGACGTGGTGTTGAAAGCTTCGAAGAACATGAGATTGTTGGAGCATTTTAAGGCCTAAGTAGTACTTGTTGCCGATTTAAAAAAATTGATCATATAGAACAAGATAAAAGGTAGCGATAAAGTAAAGATCGCTATCGTTTACTTTCTAGCACAAGTATTATTATATGGGGATGAGAAGAAGATTGTCCCACTGGAATGGCCATCGTACGTCGACGATTTAAATTTCTTTAACAACTATCCATGGGGCAGGGTGTCTTTTGAATGCACTATGCGGTCTTTAAGAAAGAAACTGAAAGAGAAATTTCAGAAATGGGTTCGGAAAGGACACAACAAGAGCATCAAGGAAACCTACTTAATATGCGGGTTTCCTTGGGCCTTCAAGGTATATCTTACAGTTATATGTAGAATTTTTAATCATGACCTTATAGTAAATTATACATAATTTTTTTGTTTTACTAGTCTTAAAAAAATTTATTTAACGCAGGTTTGGGCTTTCAAAACTTCCAACCATCGGTGCCACGTTTGCAAAGATGGTTGTTGGACGTCTTCCTAGAATGCTCAAATGGGAGGCACGCCGGGTTTCCTTGGTTGAGGTTGGCCAAATAGACGACCTCATGCAAAGTGGCGAGGTAAGGATTTGAATACAATGTGTTTATAGGCATTTTTATTATTCAATAAGTAGGCATATTTTTTTTTTTACAATATGTTTCCACCTAAATAAGCCTTCACTATATGTTCTTTTAATATACAGGGAATAATCGTACCAATTTTTTATCCCACTAAGGAGGAAATGAGTAGTATGTGCATGACGTTGTATTTGCCTTATGTCGACCAAGAAGATGCAAAGATTGACTAGCTTGCATCGTTTTTTGACTCTGGTGCAACAATGGTTCATGTCAAGCAACCGAAGCCTCCTAAACAATATTCTCATCCCCAACAACAACAGCAACTTCTCCAACAACAACAACAACAACAACAACTTCCCTAACAACAACAACAGCAACAATAACCACAACAACAACAACAATAACAACCTCGTCCTCATAATGGTATGTCTATTGATTACATACTTGACATACTCTATCCAAGGATGGCAGAGTACAATGGTAGACATTTTGAAGCCATCAACAAGAGGTTAGACTTACTAGACTAATAAGTTACAGAAATAAAGGACAACATGACACATCTAGCAAAACAACAGTTACAGCCACAGCCACAGCCACAGCCTGAGGAACAACATGAGCCACATGCTCAGTTAGAGCTAAAGTCTGAACCCAAGAATGAAAAGTGACTTCAAAGGCTCAACAAGTATTTTGAGTCACCTTACACAGATCTCCTGCGTAAGGTGATGAAGAAGATGCATACCTATAAAGATGCTGTCGAGGCATTCAAAAAGTAGTTCGCTGATACAAATACAGACTCTGAGCTAATAGAGTGCGATTTTGGTAATTGGAAGAATGACTTCTTTCGGGTCATCTTGAAGGCAAGTGAATGGATGTATAGTGAAGTAAGTAATCACAACATATTTTATAAATTTACACTCTTGTTTTTTATAAAATTATTATTATACTGAATTTATTTTTTATGACTTACAACAAATTGACGAGGCATGGGGTCATCTATCTATGAGAAGGTCACGGGCCAATGAAGAAGAGTTCATTAACGATATTATCATCCTGGATGATGTATTCTGCCAGAAATTGAGAGGGTGATTTTTCGCCAACAAATCAAAATTGGCAGAGTATACATTTGACAACGATCTGGATGAATATGTCCGTGGCTGAAAGCGCATAATTAGAAAGAAATTGGATGGCGCGCAAGGCTTCACTATGCATCTTAACATTGAGGATAAGCATTAGGTTGCGCTTTATGTCGATTTATCTGAAATCAACATAAAAATGTATAACTGGAATGCCAAGATGTACAGAGATCAATAGATGCAAAAATACGTGAAGCCTATCTCTGTCATGATGCCCATGTTCTTGAAGTACACAAGTTTATTTAACCATCCGGGCGATAAACTTGACAGTACGTGGCCATTCTTTCGTCCCGAGTCGTTGGTCCACAACCTCAGAACAGCTGACTGCGGACTTTTCACATACAATTTATCGAATACCTTGTCCGCAAAATTCCGTTAGAAGAACTCGCTGAAGAACAAGTAGAAACGTACCGGTTGGAACTTGCGGTCGGAACTTGCGGTCGGAATTTGGAGCGAGTACAAGCTTAAAAGGCACGTAAGTTGTATATAAAATGTTGTTTTGCTTGTAAAATGTATACAAAATGTTGTTTTGCTTGTAAAATATATTCAACAGGTTATTTTAGCTTTGAAAAAACATATAATTATGGGGAAATGCTGCCCTAATTTTTAGACAACAACATCCATCTTTAAAAACAAATATGACCCAAACGACATTCATCTTTTGAAAAATGACATCAAGTATGACCCGAACGACATTCACCAAACGACATTCATCTTTCGAAAAATGACATCACGTATGACCCAAATGACATTCAACCTTTGAAAAATGACATTCTTTAGAAAAAATCAAAACGTTATTTTTTTTTGGTCCTATTTTAAAATTAAACCTATGGATATGTATTATCATTTATCAAACGGTATAATTGTTCCAAACATGAGTACAAATGACACTTTTATATTCAAAAAAGAATGTCGTTTTACTGTTGTAAGAACAGACTAAGAAAATACCACGCACCGATCACACTTCACTAAGAATAGACCATGATTTTTTTTTATTTTGTAGAAAGCTTCGTACCACAACCGAAGATTGGAGAAGCATTTAATTTATAAAAGATAAAATAAATTGGTAAAAATGAAAAAACCAAGAACTGACCACGAACTGACCACACAAACTAAGAACAGACCAAAAACAGGCCAAGAACCGACCGACCAGACCAATAACAGACTAAGAACCGACCGAACAGACCAAGAATAGACCAAGAACTGACCGACAAGACTAAGAACAGACCAATAACAAACCATGAACATACTCTAATAAAACTTTGAAAAAAAATACATTTTAACATATTTTTTTAGTTTTTGGGTATTAAGACATGACTTTTCAATATATTAATGAAACAATATAATAAATTTATAGAAAAGTATTTAATTAAACGTGATACGTAAGAAGTAAAAACATAATTCTACATATTATGCAAGACCATTGTGTATAAAATAAAGTTATGTTGTGTTGTGATAGATATAATCA